TTTTCTCATGCTACATGTTTTCTGAGCTTCCCGGATCTGTAGTTTGGTGTCTGGCATTATTTTGGAGAAATTCTCATTGTTTTAAATATGTATTCTGTTCATTTCTCATTTTCTTCCTCTTCTGTTATTCCCATTACACTTATGTGTAAACCTTTTGTAGTTGTCTCACAGTTTTCGGATATTTTTCTTGGATTTTTTTGTCTTTGTTCAGTTTGATTTTCAGTTTTAGACATTTCCACTGATATATCCTTAATCTCAGAGATTCTTTCCTCAGATGTGTTCAGTCTGCTAGTAAGCCAATCAGAGGCATTCTTCATTTCTGTTACAGTGTTTTAATCTCTAGCATTTCTTGTTGGTTCTTTCTTAGAACTTCTAACTCTCTGTTTAAACTGCCCATCGATTCTTGCATGTTGTCTACTTCACCCATTAGAACTCTTAGTATATTTATTTTAAATTCTTAGTCTGATAATTCCAACACCCTTGACATGTCTTTTTCCAATGTTTGTCTGTTTTTTCAAGTTGTGTTTTTGCCTTTTAATATGTCCTGTAATTTTGTAGTTGATAGCCAGATATGATGTCCTGGGAAAAAGAAACTGCTGTAAATAGGCCTTTAGTGATGTGATGGTAAGATATAGGAGATGAGGAAGTGTTCTAAAGTTCTACTATTATTTCTTTATATTTTAGTGATCCTGTGCCTCTAGGCTGTAAATTTCTCTAGTGTTTCTAAGTCTCCCTAACTCCCCATACATCCTTTACATGGAACAAGATTATATAGTGCACTGGAGTTGGGTATTTACCTTCTCTCAGGTCAGTTAAGCTCTGAAACACTCCAGCAGGCTAAGCTCTGGTTGATTAGTTTCTCTTGAGGGCATACCTTGTTAATAAGCCGGGCTCAGTGGCTCAGCCTGTAATCCCGTGCTTTTGGGAGGCTGAGGTGAGTGGATTGCCTGAGCCCGTGGGTTTGAGACCCGCCTGGGCAGGCAAGACCTCATCTCTACAATAAATAAAAAAATTAGCTGGGCATGGTAGCATGCGCCTGTAGTTCCGGCTACTGGGAAGGCTGAGGTGGAAGGATCACTGGAGCCCAGCAGGTCGAGGCTGTGGTGGCTGGGAGCAGCCACTACACTCCAGTCTGGGCGACAGAGTGAGACTCCAACTCAAAAAAAAAAAAAAAAGAAGAACAGAGTGTGCTAGTGTATTTCAAAATGGGTCATTTTCCCTACCCTTCCTGGCAGCATGAGAGGATTTTTCTCTGATATTTACCATGGGAACCTGGCCAAGTTTCTGAGGATAAAACTCTCAAAAGTGTGGAGGTTTCTTCATGACTCAGATGCCCTGGAAATATTTATTCTCGCACCTGTTTGTTCTAAGCATACCACAATTCTTTAATTACAGTTCAGGTTTTCTACCTCATCAGTGGTTCCCATGGATGTTTCTACTTCCGAGTCTTTGCTCCAGTAAGCCATGATTCCTTATACTCACCTGTCTCTCCAATCTTGAGAGCAGTGGCATGCCTTGTGTCTTTGCCTTTCTAATAGATCCAGGAAGAATGGTGATTTCTTAGTCTGTTCAGCTTTTTACTTGCCAGCATTGAGTGGTAACTTTCAAGTTCTTTACATGTTGAATAGAAATCACCAGTTAATGTCTTATTAATATAAAATTTAAAGAGCATTATTTTAAGAAAACTTGTTATATGATGGACATATATATGTATGTATACATTTTAAAGTTTATTATCTTTTTGACTTTATGATCTTTTATTTCATGCAGAATTTAAAAAATACAATATAGTCAAGTTTATTAAATTTTTTCATGAATTATGAGTTAGAAGTATTGCTTAAAAATTTATACTTTTTCAGAATGATAGAATTTTATATATTTTTTTTAGTTTTTCAGATTATTTTTGTTTTTAAATATTATAGGCAGCTACTCCAGATCAACATCCATTCTTTAACTCATATTTCTTCACTGCCTTCAGGTGTTGTCCTTGTCTATTTTTCCGTGTTTCTTATTCCCCCCTTTAGGTTTTTAACCTAGGCATTGGTTTTTCAGAATCCAAAGTGTATATTTTATTGTTAGTGCTGGAATCATGCCAATAGATTACTGAATATGAAAGTAATATATAGCCAGTCACCCCTGAGCCCTTACTAGAAATAAATAAAAGGAATACTATGTGAGTAGAAGGGATGTTATTAGAGAAGGAGAAAGAGATAAACTACTCCTCTACTTCATGAGAGTGTGTAGTGAGATGTCATTTCAGGCAATGTAAATTATCTGCCTGTTATCCTAAATCTGCCAGTTTCTTTGAGTTGAGAAGATGCAGACAAAGCAGTAGACAACCTTGTTTACAAATTGTCCATCAAGTGAGAAGGAGACAACTAATCTTAAAAGACAAGGACAACTTCGTATATTCTTTGTCTTTTTGAGGAGGAGAAATCAAACAAGTCAGACTTATTTTTAGCATTCAGACAATTTCAGCTATTGAAATGCCTTGAAATTTATTACCCCTTCAATGTTTGGGTTGCTGTTGTTTGGAAGATTTTTTTTTTGAATTTTTTTCTGTTACCACATATGCTTCTTGATGAGGTTTGGATATATCTATTGTAGTAACTATCATAGTTCTCCAAAGATGTTATTGAAAATTGATTATATTTTAAACATAATGTCCCTAATTTAAGCAGAATCTATATGGACAGGTCTGTTGTACTAATATTCCGTCTTTCTACCTCTCCCTCTCTTTCTCCCTCTGCCTCTCTCTCTGTCCTCTATCTTCTGTCCTTTTTTGTTTGTCTTTCTTGACTTTGCTGAACTGATTCTGTGTTCTAGTCTTTTCCTAAAGTAAGCATCTCTGAGGGAGTAACTATTTCTTTGGGCCACAATGCCATCACTATTACCATTTTAAAAATCATTTTATTGTGAATTAAAACAGTTCACAAAAGTAAATAAGCTTATAAACAATGAATTTATTTTCAGTTCTTGCAGATTTAAGATTTAAGACTATTATATCTATATCTACCTATATCAGTGTATATATCTATCTATATCTATGTGGGGGACCCCCAAAACTGGAATTTATAAAATATTGTATATTTATTCTTACATGTTTAAACTTCAGTCATCTTCAAAGTACTCTCTATTTGATGCAATACACCTATCTAGACAGTTTTTCCACTGCTCAAAACAGTTTCTGAATTTGTTCATTTTGGTGCCTTTTAGTGCTTTTGCTGTTTTTTGTTTCATCTCTTCCACATTCACCAAACATTTCCCACTGAGATCTTTTTTTCACCCAGGAAAACAAACAAATAAAGTTGCTTGCGGTAAGATCAGGTGAATAGGGAGGGTGAGGAACAGGAGTCATGCTGTTTTTGGTCAAAAACTACTGAACACTCAGTGTGGTATGGGCAGGTGCACTAGTAAATCACCCATCATGAAATGGGCAAATACAATGAAAGAATCTCTAATAAAAATATTCACTGAAGGCGAACACAACCTCTCATAACAATGCTAGCTGGTACACTGATGCTGCTGGGTTCCTAGAACACTTACTTAGTGGAGGAAGCCAGTACTACAAGGGGCACACCGCCAAAGATTGTTGTTTTTTTTTTTTTGAGGGTCTCCTCATATGTAGATGTGCCTATAGCTGTATATGAGAGAGATTTATTTTAAGGGATTCCTTCACACAATTGTGGGGACTGGTAAGTCCAACTTCTTCAGGGCAGGCTATTATGTTGGCGACCTAGGAAATAGCCGATTTTGCCATTTGAGTTTGAAGGCAGTATGAAGTGGAGGCAGAGTTTCTTAATTTCTTCTTTCTAAGTATTTTTCCCTTAAGATCTTCCACTGATTGTAGGAAGTTCGCCCACATTATGAAGAGTAATCTGCATTATTCAGAGTCTACCGGTTCAAATGTCAATTTTATCTAAAAAAAAAAAAAATCTGTGATCTATCCAAGTAGACACATAAAATTAGCAATCACATCTTCTTTACTTTTAGTAATTTTTTTTCTCACAGCCTGCTTTGTATTATATGAGTATAATACATCAGATTTCTTTTGATTTTGTCTGGTTTATCTATTTCCATTCTTTTTTAAAACTTCTCTGTACATTAAATCTCAAACTTACAATGTATTCTCATATATCTACACTCTCAACTGTTCATTGGCTACTTATTCCACTGAAAAATAGGAGCAATAAGAAGAAAATTTTCACAAGCTTCAGCACTTACCAGCCACCATTATCTGTGTTCAAACACGCTGTCTTCTTGCTCATTAGATTGTAACTCCATGATTGCAGGGACTTTGCTTATCCTCAGCACTTATTATCGCATCTGAAAAGCAATAGGCCTTTAAAAGATAATTGTTGAATTAATAATGAACGAAAAAATAACTCTATCATTACCAGGGCAAAAATTACCATTCACACATTCAGAAAAAATTTATTACATGCCTATTTCTTCATTGGCAGTATTCTAGAAACTAATAATATAGCAAAGAATAGAACAGATAAAAATCTCTATCCTAAGCGAGCTTATATTTTAATTGAGGAATAGGTTCATGTTAATCACTATCATAGGCCTTTACATGAATCATCTCTTTTAAATCATCCAAAAATTGTTAGGTAAGTGTAACTACACCTTTTTTCAGGTGAAAAAGCTGAGGGTTAACTCTCCTATCCAATATCACATAGAGCCAGAATTCAGACTGACGTCTTCAAATAAATGCTTTAATTACTAATCTTCTATGTTTTAATAGACATAGAGGGGCTTCCATATCATGCTGCAAATGTTGAGGAAGAAACAGCAGAAAGCTTATTTAAAGGTTTTGGGCAACTGTAGTTCTGACCCCAAGATGGCAGTGTTTACATTAGTCATGCCTGTAGATGTGAGTGTGTATGGAATAGCTACATCTGGTCTCTGATTGGCTGCTCATACTTTCTGAAAAACCTTTTGTTTAATGTTAGAAAAGAGAATATGTTGAAGCACATTAGCCCTAAGAAGAAGCAGAGCTCTGCAGAATAAAAATGGAGAAGCATCTGAGGATCTGCCTGGTGGTTTTGTGGCTTTATTTTTGTAGTAAGTTAGTAGACAGTTTTGGCCAGGTTGCCACAACAAATCTAGGAAACATTTTCTTAGAATTTGGGGCAAAGGTGTAGTCTACTGGGGTAGGAGGAGGCAAGAAAATGGGTCATTTTATAGTTTACCTGGGATTAATTGTGTAGAGTGAAGAAGGGAGGCAAATTAGAAAGTATTCAGATTGGATGATTGATCTCTTAAGTTTCACTTTGCTTTCTGAATAGGGGTGAGTGGCAAAAACCAAGTGGAGCAGAGTCCTCAATCCCTGATCACCCTGGAGGGAGACAACTGCACTCTTCAATGCAATTATACAGTGAGCCCCTTTAACAACTTAAGGTGGTACAGACAAGATACTGAGAGTGGTCCTGTTCTCTTGACCGTCATGTTTTCTGGTGAGAATACAAAGTCGAATGGAAGGTACACAGCAACTCTGGATGCCAGCGTCAAGCGAAGCTCTCTGCACCTCACAGCCTCTCAGCTCAGCGATTCAGCATCCTACATCTGTGTGGTGGGCGCACTGTGCTCCCCAGGCACTTGCAGCCAGTGCCCAAACCTGCACCTGGAGGCTGTTAAGGAAGCTTAGGAGTTTGAGTAGAACATTATTTTTTAACGCAAAATATAATTTCACAAGCGAGTTAGTATTTCTCTCTTAGTCATGATTAGATTTGGGCTTGAGCCTAGAGGTCTACAGAGCATAAAGATATCTTTACTCAACACATACAATTAACTACTACATCTGGCTGTTCTTTAGCACAAGACTTTCATGCTTGTTATTGCCACTAAAGTAGATTATACCTTTGGTTGGAAGGGAGAGACCGTTCTTTCCAGTTCTGGCTACCAGTAGAATGTCAACTAACTGAAAGAGCAACAAGTTAATGTGGTCGATGCCAATATCTTGATATTGCTCCCCCCTTACAGATATCCAGTCCTCATATCATGACTTTTCAAGTTTTCAGAAAGCATCCTGTGCCAAGTTCTCAGGTGCATACTGTGGGGAGAAATCTGCTTTGCCAATTTAGCCATGTTCCATATCAAGGCATCTCTCCAACTCTTTATCACCTTCCATCACCGATTCTTTGGAGGACATTTCTGTTTAGACTGTTTTGCCAGTGGACACCTGCAGACATGGTCACTCAAAGACAGAAGAACATCTGTGTCTGGCTCTTCAACCATTCATATTATAGAAAAGATATAAGGGAAAGAATGCCTACATGCAATTGTAAACACTGGTTTGCACAAATTAGCTGTGAAATTCCGTTTTGGAATAGTTAGAGAAATGTGAATATATACTTTGAGAATTAAATGAGGTAAATATTTACCTGAAAGGCAGATATCAACTACCAAAAACAGAAAAGATGTATACTAAGTTATTAAAATAGTAATCTCTGGGTTGTGGGAATAGAATTTTTAAATTTTTTAATCTTTTCTTGTCTTCTGTACTTTTAATTTTCTGTAGTTCACAGGTTTTGCTTCTGGCAAAATAAAATTTATTTTTAAAAATCTTAAGAAAATTTGAAGGAATAAATTTGACATGTCATTATCAACTTGCAGAAATAAATATTTTAAAATGATCACACATTCCAGGATGTTGTAATAAAGTTTACTTGTTAATTGCTTGTGACCATATTTCCAAATGCCTTGAATTCTGGAGCTAAAAGTAAGCCTGGATGTGTTAGGAAATCAGACATTTCTTCCTATCCTACACCTCCTTCCAAGTCTTTGGAGTGAAGAAATTAAAGATCAGCTTTCTTCTGCAGCAGACTTGCATAAAGTATTAATTTTAAATTTGTTGAGGAACACGATAAAATGCATGAAAACTTAACCAACAGGTGAAATCCCAAGTATGTGCACAAATACATTTTAAAGGTATTCTTAGAAGGAAACCACTGCAACACAGAAAGACAAAGGGGAAATGGCATATTTAGTTAGGTCTTGCACAGACTTACATAGAATTTATTCATTATATAATTATTTATTAAACAAGTAACAAGTGATAGGTGTTTTTGTTGGTGGAAGCAGTAGAGTAATGCACAGACACATACAGACACATGCAGACACAAAAGTCCTTCCCTCATGAGGTTTGAGTCCAGATTTGTCTATAGTGTTCACTTCACTTTACAGGAATATCTTTTGAAGTTTGTGTTCCAATATCTGCATTTCCCTTTCTTGCTTTAATGACTGGCAGATTTCATGTGGGAGATTAAAGTATAGACATTAAAGTGCTATATCTATCACTTACTAACTTATGTGTTCATGGACAAAATTGCTTAAACTTAGTGCACCTACACATCAATGGTAAGAACATACACCATGTAACTTGGATGGATTTAGAATCTATAATACTGAGTGAACTGTCACAGAAACAAAGAACTGAGTACCACACGTTCTTACTCATAAGCAGACATTGAACAATTATCATAATACTATAAGAAAAGGATTGGCAGTGTGGGAAACGGCCAGGGGGTTGGGGAGAACGGGATTGGCAGTAGTGGGGAACTGCCAGGGGATGAGGTGGGGGTACACCTCATCAACAAGGGTGCCTGCATAATGAACATTTGTATACCTAACCCTGAATTGTACCCCACATCTTTAAAATAAAAATTTTAAAAATTTGTTTAAAAAAAAATCTCATCCCATGGTTGTAAAGATTTAACTAAATTATGTGACCTTACTTAAATGATTGAATGGCATTAGTAGAAAAAGTTTTCAACAAATGGCATTTAGTCTTGGATGTAGAAGGGATAATAAAACAAAAACAATTCAAGATAAAACAACAGGAAAACTTAAAAATAGATTAAGGCTTACTTCTTCACCCTCCAGCTACTGATTATGTTATTTAACTATGGTTATGACTGTGAGTCACCCTTTATTTCATGTTGGCCTTCTCCCATCCAATTATTTGAACTGATTCTAATGGCTTTCTTGTATGGTTCTTGATCTCAGTTTTTATGCACAGAAAATGAAACTATTTTTTTTAATGTTTTCCTTTTTTATTTTTTAAAAAATTTTTATTACAAAGATGTGGGGTACAATTCAGGGTTAGGTATACAAACATTGATCATGCAGGTACCTCTGTTAATGAGGTATGACTCTCCCTCCCCTAGCAGTTTCCCTCAGCTGCCAATCCACCCTCCCCAGAAAATGAAACTTTCTTGCTTCTGGTATATCTTATTGTAAATTCTAAGATGAGCCCACATAAGTCTGATGGAGCAGGTCTTGAATATTATTATAATGAGATACTGTGCCAATAACTAGATACATGCCTGGGAGCTCATTTAACAGACTTCTGTATTGGAAGGGGGAGAAAATAAACTTTCTAGGTTTCGTTGAGGGATGAATTTTTTTTTGTTATTCAATTTATAACTTGTACAAGATAGATACTTAAGAAGTCTTATAGAAGATAAAAGGAAAGAGAACAATCTCGGGGACAACAGCAGGTGCAACTCTCCAACAAATCAGCACACAATCCTGGTGTGACCTGTTTCATTACTATTTCTTCAGAGATCAAGGGTAGCTGTGTGATCTGTGCACAGGGCAGTGGAGCTAGTTTTTGATTGGCTGGAGAGTTTCAAAGCAACAGAATTATGCATATGCCCTCAGAGAACAAACTATTTAACTTGGTAGTGTTTGTGGACTACCGGACCTCAACCAGAGTGCTCAGTGCACTTGATGGATAGAAAAATGGAGAAACTCTTAGGAGTCTCATTTGTGATTTTTTGGGGGCAGCTGTACGGTGAGTTGGTGGGCTTTGGAAACATGAAATTAAAGAGAAGACTGTAGTATCTTTTCCAAAAATCTGAAAGTTATAAATGTGTGGCTAGAGCCTCCATGCTTGCTTGTGGGTCTCTGAAAAGAGATTATATCTTCTCAAAATAGTCAGGCATTAATGAATCTCATCTGTCTGTGGTTCTCTGTTTAAACAGGGGTGAACAACCAGCACACACTGGAGCAGAGTCCTTCATATCTGAGTATCCTGGAGGGAACACACGCCATTCTTAATTGCACTTATCAAGAGAGATCGTTCTTTAACTTCTACTGGTTCCGGCAGGATCCTGGGAAAGGACTTGTATCTTTGGCCTTAACTCAATCAGGCCAGAAAGAGCAGGGAGACACAAATGTTAAAGAAATGCTTGGAAAAGAAAAGTCATATAGTATTTATAATATCTCAGCCTTTCATCCTGGAGATTCAGCCATGTACTTCTGTGCTTTGGGGCACAGTGTTCTCTAAGCACCTGGTGCCTGTACCACAACCCACAGCTGGGTCTCTTGACACAGGGTTAGCCTTATGGATGGGAGCGAAGATGTTTTCTTTATTTATGGAGAGTATTTTATTTATAATCTCTGCCTCTGAACAGAGTGAAAAATATTCTACCATCTTTCTTAAGTGATTCATCTGAATTTATATTGGATTTAATTTCCTCTTGCTATTACTGATTTTTCATTTCTCACTGCAGATTGTACTGGTCCTGGGCCGGTTTACCCACAGATTTCTTCTACTTCTTTGCCTTTTACTTAAAAGAGCAGACCCCTTTGTGATGGAGGTTCTGAGTAATGAAGGAAGTTTTCACCAAGCTGCACTCTTATCAGCAGCATTTTATCCATTTGTTTATATCTTCATGACATTTTCTGTATCTGTGTATCACCTATATCATTATTTACTTAATTTAATATTAAATTGACTTTTATGCTAATACATAGACTTGAAAAATACTATCTATGAAACCATATATATGATATAAACCATATATTTGAATTGCTACTGGTTATATTTTTTCCCAGTGCAAATTAAAATAGCATTATATATGTAACAATTGAAAAGGTTTTCTGTGGACTGCCTAACATGACCTCCTGTATCAATCACAGTTTAGGAAATACTGATCTAGACTATGACCCTTATGTTATAAGTGAGAGAATTGGGTCCCAAAGCCAATGGTATCACTTACTCAAAGCATCATCTATAACAAGATGGAAGCTAGGAGCAGAACCCAGACATTCTGATCTTTGTCAGTTGCTTCTTTCACAAAAGATGCAATGCAGAATCCAGAGTTATAGTTGTAAATTTAAACTAAAGTAAAATTTTAATTTAATTGCATGCTAATTCTAGATAACTTAGAAGCTTTAAACACTTTCCCATAGAATATTCCCATAACTCTACCACCTAGACAAGTATTACCATGTTTCAAAATTTCTTATGTACATAGAAAACTATATTTTTCTATTGATGGGGCTTATAATGTCTTCATTATTTATTAACATAATTGTGTCTCTAAACAGTATAAGTATTTTCATGCCAGGAAACATATATTGAGGACAATTTTAAATGACTGTCTAGTTTTCATTATATAGATACATATTTAAAAGGTGGAATACCTTTTGGCATTATTTCAAATTATCCAGTATTGTAGACAAAGTTTTTATGAACATCATTAATGTTGCAGCTTTCATAGACATAGTGTGAGTTGAGTAAGGGGAAACATAGGACACTGGATACCTAATTTCTAGGAATAAATACCGAATTGTGATTTTGACAGTGTGTATGATTTTGATATTTCATACTTCACCTATTATGGACATTATTATTTA